AATGTTCTGAAACAAGTAACATTCAAACAACCGTTCAGCTAAAACATTCCATGAATACTGCTTAAATAACATTTTGAGAACATTAAAGACCAGGAAACTCTAAATGAACATTTTATTAACATTACTAGAGAATGTTTCTTTAAGAGAGAACATAGCTGGGCTCACATTAACTAAATAAGGATGCATATGGTCTTTAATATAAAACTAGTTTCAACTGATTAACTCAAACTCCAGTGTCCGGATGGGACGTGCTGTCAGATTTAGCTCACTTTCTGATGACAAATTTATCCTTAAAGTATAGATAATTAAACAGACACACACATAAGAGCACAAATATATTTACATAATAAATATACACAGAACACACACATATATTATGCAAAGAAAAACTTTTATTTTGTATGCGATTAATGCGATTAAAGTTATTATACACTAATTATAATGTATTGCTTTTAAACATTTAAATATATTACTTGTTTTAAATATTGAAACATTATAATGTATTGCATTACATATTTAACATTAAACATGGTAATTGAATTATTATAAATACATATACCATGCATAATTATTTATTTACTTGTATTACGATAATGCTTTTTTACATAGATGGCATTTGTTGAAGCTGTTGTGTGTAATATCTTGTTTCTCAGCTGCGCAGCAGGATGCAAGAGTGTGTTACATTCTGGATGCGATTCTGGTTGTTTACGGCATTGTGTTGACTGTCCTTTACTGCAGATTAAAGGTGAAACTTCATTTCTATAACCTCACATCTTTGTATACTCTATATGATAAAGACATTTAGTGTCATTTTTCACCCATTTTTTTAGATTAAATGACATTTATGCTGACTAAAAAATATTTGTTTACTAGCAAGATAAATCTAAAGCATTAATCTATTGACTCATACATAAATGTGATTTACAGAAAATAAAACATTTTCTTTAACATGTTTTAACAAGAAAATTCACACTTGCCATGTCCTGAATTAAACCTTTAATTGGAAGCACCCATAAAAAAACAAACATTATTTCCTTGCATTTTATAGTTCCTTGGAGCACAAATAACTTAAAGCAATATTTATTCTTTTTATAGACTTTTTTATTTTATTTTAAACATCTACTAAATGACTGAGGTCCCCATTAATGGCAACGTTAATTTTTATTTTGAAAAAAAAATAATAATAATTTTAATAAATCAAAAAGCCTATAATTTAAATAAATACTGAATATAAAAAGGGAATCTATCTATCTGTCTGTCTTCTTCAAGCATTGACATTCATTTCATATGTTCATGAACACATTCAATTTAAATGTAGCAATTAAATCAGGATTTAAGTACTTCCTCAGTGCAGTTCTGAATAGTGCACAACCCCTACAAATACTGCATTCTAGATCACACTCAAATCCTCGTTTGAGCTCATTCACCTGCTTATTTCAAGTTTGTTATAAATCGCAAAAAACTTGGTTTCCAGGATTAAATCAAAACTAGCTCAAGTGTGTAACGACGGCCTTCACTGCACTTTTAGATTTTGAGTTATGAACGGAATATGTTGTTGATGTTGAACTGCATTTCTCTGATCGTGAAAGTAACGTTCACTGTGTGTTTGTTGCCAGATGCGTTCGTCTGGAGATAAAGCTTTCTCAGAGGTGGGTTCACTTGTCTCTGCTGATTCTATTGTCACATTTCTGCTTCTCGTCATTCAGCTGACCACAGAGCTATTAAAAACACATGCACGCACACATTTACTTAGTTATCATAAAGGGACGTTCCATAGAGTATTTTTAGATACAGCTATAAATACTATAACTGAACCCTAAGAGAAAACATTCTGTATTTTCAGTTTTAAAAATAATAGCAACAATTATAACTTTTATAGATTATGCATTATAAAAGTAGTTTTAATTCATTAATTATGTCTTGAAATGCATTATATGATCTCATTAATAATTGTAACCACAGTTATAATACATTGTTACACCTTTAGTGTAATGCATTAAAACACACGACACACTTTTAAATATTATGATGCATTTTATCTTTAGTTACAATTATTTCTGAAAAGCTATAATGCATTACATAAGCTACACTGTGAATATCTTCATAATGTATTAAACATGAAGGCTTCAAATAAAGTGCTACCAAAAAAGCTTTTATTTCATTTAATGCCGCTTTTGCAAATGAGGATGTTTTCAAAAGTAGGTTTTGTCAGATTTAGTTCCCGTTACTACACACAAGCTAACTGAAATATGTTCTAAAAACCTTTTTCGTAACGTTCCCAGAAAACATTACTTCACTGAATGTTCAAAAAAAAATCACAATTCTTTGTTACACGAACATTAAAGGGGTCATATGATGCGATTTCATTTTTTCCTTTCTCTTCGCACAAACACACATTAAAACCTCTTCGGTCAGTCAGATACACGTGCTTTGTTGAGGTTTAGTACCTGTTTTTCATATCAATCTTATCATCTGTCAAAATGCCCTCATAGTTGATTTAAGAGACAGAATGAGGGAAATAAAGAGGAAGATGAGAGCGTAAAAAGAGGAACAGAAAGCGGAGTCGGTGTTGACTAATGCTGAAGGACAAACACCACAGACTTGAGCAAGAGTCTTCTGAGAAATGTCACTTCTCCCATTCACTGTCCTCTTGTGTTTTTCAGAAGCGAGAAGGGGACATTTATCAGGTACTGTGCTGTTATTGTGCTCTGTTGTGACGAGTGAGTGACTGCTGCAGTGATTTCATGTGTCTGTGCTTCTTCAGGATTTGGGACGGCAAGACAAGGACACCTACGACACTCTCCATCCCGAGAAGAAAAAGCCGCTGGCCTGAGAAACTCTCAAACTGTGCAGCTCTTTCAGTCTTCATGCCCTAAAAACTGTATTTTCGCTTTGTTTATAAGTAAGCAAACTAGCAGAGCTTTATGAGATTCTGCTTTATTGTGCTTGTTTGCATGTGTCTTTGAGACAAATGTCACAATTAATGTATAAAATACAGGTGTAAGGCTCTTCATTTCAACATAATAAAATTATATTTTGAACTTGGACAGATTAATCGTGTGTTTCAATGTTAGCATGGCGCGGCTTCCGGCGTCATTCGCTTCCGGTTATTTTTAGCGGTACAAAAACAGCTCGTTTATGCTGCTTGGCAAACTGGTATTCTTATCATATTATTTTAGTTAATCTGCTGCTAAATGAATAAACGTAATGTAAATATAAAGTACTCCAAACAAACCCAAATGAGCAACACCATAGTAAAAAATATCATTATAAAAGTATATCACTAAAAGTAGCCTAAACTAAATAAAACAACTAAACTGCAACCTAGCTAACAAGGTACGTGCTCAGAACGTTCTGGTGAACTTCTTTCAAAGCTATAAACGAACGGTCTTCCAGTAACCTTAATAGAAAGTTCATTCAACATGGTCTTTAATAACATTCTCAAGCACAAAAACATTTATACGTGGTTCTAAAACGTTTGAGTTGGACGTTCATCAAACATTTTTGAATGTTGCTATTAGTTTCAGAACGTTGAGAACGTTCAAATGTAACATTCCCATAATGTTTGGAAAATGATCAAATTGAATGTTCCCTTACCGTTTTTGTAACTTTTTTTGTTTGTTTGTTTGTTTTTGTACATGTTTAAAAATTGGACGTTCAGAGAACATTCATAAATAACGTTTTCATAACTAGCAAAAGGCTTATTTATATACACAGTTAGCAATTTATTTACCATGTGGTAATCAGCAGATGGCGCTATAAAACAACAACGTTTAAAAGATCGTTTCCTGTGAACTAAACTAAATAATTAACTGGCTCCGGTCAATCAACTATCAAGCAATACACCACGTGACCAATCAAATTAGAACAACAGAAATAACTACTGCATAAATACATATAAATTAACATGTATATACATATAATTTAAAAAGTGTTAAGATATCAATAATACAACAAAAATAAATAATAATAATAATTTTGTTTTACTATAATGTAAATCTGTATATTTCTCTTCATTTGAGTTTTGACATTTTTTGACTTCTTTTGTTGGCGTGTTCACAAGCTATGTCAGGAATTTGCATCTGAACTGGTTTGTCCTGTTCATATCTACACCACAAAACAAATAACACTTTCAAACTTCACACCTCGCCATGCGTTCAGAAGAGTTTAGCTTTTTATACATTTCTAGAAATCCACCACATCAGACTTTTTTTGTTTTTTTGATATAATAACAAGAGGGTTAAGTGCTTAAACCAAAGGTCGGTGAGTGTTTATGTGCGCGCGTAAGTGGTGGGCGGAGCCTAACCCGCAGGTGTGTGAAGGCTCACCTGAGTGCGGTTGAACGCGTGAGCTGACTTCAGTTCAGACAGAGTTTAATCATGAGTTTATCAGCCTCGGGATCGTTCCGTAGACGTTCTGCTCATGCTTTGTGACAGAACTGCAATTTTACTTTGCATGCTTTTTTTATTCGTTCAGATGTTGACAAACGGTGGAGTTTAAGAACAATTTAAGATGGATTAACAGACGAAACGGGTGAGAACATGAGGAGATGTGTTGAGGAATAACAGAAATATACTGACAGAATAAACCAGCAGCATGACGAGACTGCTGGCCTGCATCAGTGTGATCGTCTTCAGATTGATGGGTAAGAAAAACAAATGTTTGAGAAGCCGGCTTCTTTTGTTGGCGTGTTCACAAGCTATGTCAGGAATTTGCATCTGAACTGGTTTGTCCTGTTCATATCTACACCACAAAACAAATAACACTTTCAAACTTCACACCTCGCCATGCGTTCAGAAGAGTTTAGCTTTTTATACATTTCTAGAAATCCACCACATCAGACTTTTTTTGTTTTTTTGATATAATAAGAAGAGGGTTATAGTGAAGTGCTTAAACCAAAGGTCGGTGAGTGTTTATGTGCGCGCGGAAGTGGTGGGCGGAGCCTAACCCGCAGGTGTGTGAAGGCTCACCTGAGTGCGGTTGAACGCGTGAGCTGACTTCAGTTCAGACAGAGTTTAATCATGAGTTTATCAGCCTCGGGATCGTTCCGTAGACGTTCTGCTCATGCTTTGTGACAGAACTGCAATTTTACTTTGCATGCTTTTTTTATTCGTTCAGATGTTGACAAACGGTGGAGTTTAAGAGCAATTTAAGATGGATTAACAGACGAAACGGGTGAGAACATGAGGAGATGTGTTGAGGAATAACAGAAATATACTGACAGAATAAACCAGCAGCATGACGAGACTGCTGGCCTGCATCAGTGTGATCGTCTTCAGATTGATGGGTAAGAAAAACAAATGTTTGAGAAGCCGGCTGTAATGAATGGTTAGTTTGTAAGTTTTAGTTTAATCATTTCTTTCTCAACACGTTTGATCTTTTTATGTTTATTGTGTTTCATGCTGCCTCTTATGCAGGTTTGTAGATTTTTAGTCTCATTTAAGTAATCTAGTGAAGTAAAATTGTGATTAAAAATAGTATATTAGCTGAACATGAGTTATATTGAGATGTTAGCCCAGCTTTTGTGTGTTTGTGTGGGTGTGTGATTGATCTGCTAAGTGACATTCTTTTAGAACATTTTCTACTGTAATTAAAGTTCAACCAGCTTCGAAAACCATTACTCTCTAATTTATGACTAACATTGAGGAAATAAGTGCAGGAGTGTGAGTGAGTGAGAGAGAGAGATTGTGTGTGTATGTGAGCGAGATAGATTGTGTGTGTGTGTGAGAGAGAGTGTTTGTTTGTGTGTATGTGTGTGAGAGAGAGAGAGAGTGTATTTGTGTGTGTGTGTGTGTATGTGAGCGAGAGAGATTGTGTGTGTGTGTGAGAGGTTCATCAAACATGTGTGTATGTGTGTGAGAGAGAGTGTGTGTGTGTGTGTGAGCGAGAGAGATTGTGTGTGTGTGTGTGTGTGTGCGTGTGTGTGTGTTTAAGCGTGTGGCGTGTCAGTGTGTTTGTGTTCAGTCTTTCTCTCAGCTGAGAAGAAAACAAACAATAACCAGAACTGCAAGAAGACATTCTCTCACTATGCCTCACTGTCTTCTGCTTTCTGTCTCGTTTTGTTGACTTTGAAAGACAGGTGTCTGGTCCAGAGTTTCTCATCTGGGTTTCGCTTATAGGATGGCTTATACATTGGCCTAAAAGAGTTCAATCATGCAAAATGAGCAGAAACATCCTTAAACTTGAACCCTAATTCTATACCCGAATATAAACATGTACAAGAGATCTCAAGAGTGTCTCAAACTGTGCTCAGATTTGTTAAGATACTAAAGTCTGCCATCAAAACTCAGAGATCTCAATACAAATTCAATATTTCTCATCAAATCATCAGAACTGCTGTACATTAGATGTTATAGCTCTATACATTTACTGGATGTAAACTAGTGACTATTTTTAATTGTTTTATAAGTTGATATGTAAATTAAACCTGACTGAGCAATAATATTTCCCTCTAGAATCTAATGTACTTTTACCTGAGACTTACTCATCAGGGCTGCCAACTGAGTTCAACTTTGAGTGAGAATTTCCGCAGCGGGATGGTTTTGGAAATATATATCCCTCCTGCAGCCACTGTTTGTGGCCACTGGTCCTGTTAGCAGCACAAAAATCAAAACTTTTATTCAAATTCTAAATGGGTTATATGTAGCCTAGAAAGCAAGCAAATAGCACTCCCATATGTGACCCTGAGCACAAAACCAGTCATAAGGGTCAATTTTCTCGAAATTGAGATTTATACATCATCTGAAAGCTGAATAAATAAGCTTTCCATTGCTGTATGGTTTGTTAGGATAGGACATATTTGGCTGAGATACAACTATTTGAAAATCTGGAATCTGAGGGTGCAAAAAAATCTAAATATTGAGAAAATCATCTTTAAAGTTGTTCAAATGAAGTTCTTGGCAATGCATATTACTAATCAAAAATTAAGTTTTGATATATTTACAGTAGGAAATTTACTAAATATCTCCATGAAACATGAAATCCTAATGATTTTTGGCATAAAAGAAAAATTGATAATTTTGACCCATACAATGTATTGTTGGCTATTACTACAAATATACCCCAGCGACTTAACACTGCTTTTGTGCTCCAGGGTCACATATAATCATTAAAAAGCTGCCACTCACTTCACTTCATTGCAATCTCACGATGTTCTGTTATAATCAATGCGAGAGCGTGAGAACAGTGTTAACCGAGTTAGAGTTGGCAGCCCTGTCAGATAGATAGATGGATAGACAGACAGCTTTGCTAATTTTATATATACAGCTTTTAAGCAGGGCTGCCAACTCTCACGCAGTTAACACTGTTCTCAAGCCACATGTGAGAACAAAAGCACCCTCAGTTAAAACTGTAATAATAGGACATTGGCGAATGAGATTTGTCAAACTTTGCAGTGCATACCTATGTGTTTGCTCTCTGGAGAGAATCAAAAAGTTTCTATTTACAATGTGTTTTTGTAGCGTTGAGCAATGTAGCCAATCACAGACATATCTGTTGATTTCTGGAACACCTCTGATTGGCCATTGTGTTCAAGTTCAAGTTCTTTTTGCCAATGTCCTATTATTACAGTTTTAACTGAAGGTGCTTTTGACTGCGTGAGAAAATTAGCTTCTAATCAATTTGTAAGGCCTTTACATGATGAACATGATCAAACTTTGCTGTTTCACACTCAATCTCCTGCATGTCTTCTGTCGTCTGATTGATAGTTTAGAGTGTTTTATCCAGTCAAAGCTCTTTTAGTGTAATTGTACAAGCGTCCAGCTTCAGCTGCTGCTTCTCGTGTCAAATCTTGACTGATTTTGATCAAGTAAAGGTCAGAATAACTGCAGTAATATCTCCAGATGAACTCTTACTGGACTGAAGCAGCTCAGCTTTACTTGATTCTCCATCAATCATGTTTTAGAGTCTCAAATCTGATCCTCAGGATCTTTTGAGGAGCGTTTGTTTCCAGAAGCTTTACTTTCACTGTTCCTCAGCGGAGGAATGATCTTCACAAGCCTCCAGAACATCTCACATCTTCTGAGGAGCCTTTATTTCTTCAGCTCTCAATCACTGCATTATATGTTTGGAGCATTTCAATCTCATCTTACTGAGACAGATTACTGGAGATATAGAGCGACCACTGATATTTATAGCATTTTATGTCAGTATCTGCTGCACTGTTATAAAGATCTCATTGATTTACATCACAAGCATCTCATCATAGAAATATCAGCATCTGCACCAAATTCATATTTTTGCTCCGTTTGAGTCTCTGAATAAAAGTGATCTTCATTTTCGGACTCTATCAGACTATATGAGCCATAAAAGCCAAATATGATACCAGATATAAAACACATATGCAAACTTTTAAGATATTTTAAAAACATTTTGTTTAAAGGTTCAATAAACTGTTGCATTTTAAAAAATATATGTATATGTTATTATAATTATGTAAATATATGTTATTTCATATATCAGTCTTTAAAATCAAACCCAACAACATGCACAATGATTACATGTCATATAGGCTGAATAAATGTATGATTTTGTAAAAGCATAATCACCAGGAGAAGTTGCATGCTTGTATTAGTATATACATCCTTGCATGTCAGCACCAAACGATATGGGGTGCATTTTATTATTTGCATTTAGCATTGTTTTTTTTGAGCTGGTCACACATCTGTAACTCTCTCATTGTGCTGCATGGGAATGTCCTTGTGTTTTTGTGTCATGTTTGTAGGCCAGGAGCGATGGATCATGATAGCATGGGTTTATTATTAACTGTCCTCGGCCTTCACCTTGTCTATTCAGTGCTGTTTGCAGATGTTCACACTGTCTCTTTATGTCTCAGTCTGTGTTCACAGTGAGTTTATCGAGCCGTCTCCGTCCCTGGCCCTGCGCTCGTTCTCTGGCACACAGACCCGGATGCCCTGTCGCTTTATGGTGGAGGCCGATGAAAAAGTGGTGCAAGTGACCTGGTCCAGACAGAAACCAGGAGGAGAACGAGAACAGATTATCATAGGACACTTTACTGAAGGACCTACAGGTGTGTGTGTTGTGTGAGTGTGAGTGTGTGTGTGTGTGTGAGTGAGTGTGTGTGTGTCTGTGTGTGAGTGTGTCTGTGAGCGTGTACGTGTGTGTGTGTGTGTTTGCACCATTTACAAACACAAACTAGTTGAGTGAATCTCACAAAACCTGTTAGGAACATGTCTGGCTCAGATTTCACAATGCAAACAATCTTAATGGTCCTCAAAACAGGCTTCATTTTCTTTTCTCGTGATTTTGGGCTGAAATATGTTGTGTGTGAGACCTGGACATGTGTTCCAAGGTTGTTCACTAAACACAAATGACAGAAACAATCAACAAAATGACTAAAACTTTAACTAAAATCAAAATGAAAACAGAAAAACCGATCATATCAAAATATGAAAACACTATTATAGTTTCTCAAAGATACTAAAATAAAACGGATCATTTTTGTTACTTGAAATTAAATAAATTTATAAATAAAATATAATAAATAAAATTTAGAATAAATAAAATAAAATGGACAATAACAAACTTATGCTATTTTAGCTACAACATTTCTCTAATTCAAATTAAAAACTATAATAGTACATCAGTGATACTAGAATAGCACTTGAAATGTATTTGCTTGAAATTAAATAAACGTTAGCTGAAATAAGTTGACTTTTTTTGTTAAATATTTTTTGTATTATTTTATTTTAAAAAAACGATAAATTGAATATATTACATTTTTTAAGGTAAGTGGTTGCAATCAATTTATTTTAGCTACATTTAAATAAAAAATTTAGTTGATTAACTTTCAAAAAAAAATGTTTAAATTAAATGTAGCTAAAATAAATTGTTTGCAACCACTTACCTTAAAAAATTAGTATCATTTTTTTTCAGTGTAGTTACAGAGGCAACACTTCTCATTTTCATTTAGTGTAACTGGATATAAAATATGGATCTAAAATAACTGGAAGTGAAACAAACAAAAAAATAAAATAAAAACTATAGAATAATAAAAATGACAAAAACACACTACAAAAGTAGGCCACTTATAATTATAATGCAAATGGAAAATATAAAAATAAAAACTAATTCAAACTATTTATTAAATAAAAAATCATTAAAAAAAATCATTGTTAAATATTAGTAACTATAATAGTATCTCAATGATACTAAAATAACATTGGTGTGTTTTGGTGATTCATCCGCCTCTTGTAATTAAATCTCCTCCCATTCAGAGAAGCACAAACAGACACAAGCATCACTTCCTCCCAGCAGTTTTGTTCAATGGAAACCATCTCGAATGCATTGTGTTCTGACAGGCGTCTGTCACCTAGAGATGTTTGTCATGACGGATATTTTCAATGGTGCATTGTGTTCATCAGCTCTTTTACCTGAACCAACTCATATCTGCCATCTGTGTTGAAGTGCATTGCTTCAATTCGCCCCAAAATATAAAATATTCTGTCATTATTTACTCACTCATATCAGCTCAAACCTGTATGACTTTCTTTCTTTCTTTCTACTGTGAAACACAAAGGAGCTCATGCTGCCGTTTTGCATACAATACTGGGGTTGCAACAAAAAGCAGCGTAAAATATCATAAGTCAAGTCAAGTTTATTTGTACAGCGCTTTTCACGATACAAATCATTGCAAAGCAACTTTACAGCAAATTAAGTTTCTACAATATTTAGTGGTAGCTTATCAGTGGTGACTGTCAGTTAATGTACATATGGCAGAAATGTACGGAAAAATCAATTTAAGACGTAATAAAACAATTCATTTTTTTTATAATACTAAGTAATACTCTTACTCTCGATACTCAGTCACCAGTGTCACGTGATCCTTTAGAAATCATTCTAATATGCTAATTTGCTAATTTTTCATTATTTTCAATGTTGAAAACAGTTATGCTGCAATCATTTTTTCAGGGTATTTTAAGAACAGAAAGTCCAAAAGAACAGCATTTATTTGAAATAGTTTTTCGTAACAACGTAAAAGTCTTTACTGTCACTTTTTAGCAATTTAATGCATCCCTGCAGAACAGACCTATTAATTTCTTGCTCAGATCCCTCCTTCAGTGCACGCCTATTGTGTATCTTTTGCTCATTTTATTATCTGCCAAACAAAGACTGAATGTTTGAGAAAGATTAAAATTAGAGTATCACAACTTAATATCATGACACTTTGAATGCAGTTAGTTTGAATGAGCCGCCCTGATAACATTTACCTTAATTTTCAGCTGTGATTTGTGATGATGTTTTCGTAACTTGGCAATGTTTCTAAGATGGAAGAATGCTGTTTTTGTAACATGGGAAATATGATTTTCAAAATACAAGTTGCTATCTGATATAACACCCAGATTTTTGACTGTAGAGGAAGTAACCGTACATCCGTCTAGTTGCAAATTGTAATCCAAGAGATTCTGTGTACTGCCTTTTGGTCCAATAAGTAATATCTCTGTCTTATCCGCATTTAATAGGAGAAAATTATTGGTCATCCAATCTTTTACATTTTTAACATTCTGTTAGCTTAGATAATTTAGAAGTTTCATCTGGCCACTTAAGTAGCTGATGTAACTTAAGCGCGATATTCCACGTCTTCTGAAGTCATGTGATCTTTCGTGTGAAGAACAGACCCAAATTGAAAATGCTTTCACTGTAAAGCTTGAGCTGTGGCTGCCATGGAATGGAATTGAGCAAAAGAAATGATCAGTATATAAAAAATAACTTGATAACTTGTTTTTGCAGTTGCATGAAAGAAAATACTTGGTTTGAAATGGTGTTATTTTAGTATTATTTGAGGTACTATTATAGTAGACTATAGAGACAATAATATTTTTTTTTTATATTCTTTTCTTTTTAATTTTAGTAGTTTTGTAGTGTGTTTATTTTTTGTCATTTTTATTCGTTTTTGTTTTTAAAAGTCTATATAGTTTTTTTATTTTAATTTTAGTTATTTTAGTACATCAAGTTAAGCAATGTAAATGAAAAATAAGAAGCTAAAATAAGTTTTTATTGTTTTTTTTGTGAATTATTTTTTTATTTATATTCTGTTTTTCGTTTCAGTTGTAATAATTTTGTGTTTTTTTTGTCATTTTTATTAGTTTTTGTTTTCTTTTTAAATTTCTATATATTTTTTTTATTCATTTTCATTTTGGTTTCAGTTATTTTAATACATGTAGTTAAACTAAATGGAAAATTAGAAAAACAATTGACTGAAATAAAATGTAAACATAAAAAAAAATCATTATTATTTTTTTTTTCAGTTAAAGTTTACCTGCAGTTTATTTTATTATATTTTATGATATTACTTAGTTTTAGTTAACTATAATCACCTTGGTTTGGAAAGGACATGCGGGTGAGTAAATGTTGACAGGATTTTACGGGTGACCTGTAATTTGGATTTTGCTTTTTTATAAGCAGCAAAAAGTCTTCTGGTGATTCTCAGTCTTTACAATGAAACAAGAATTCTGATGAAACGATAAGAGCGCAAGAGAATCGATTTGGTATCAGTGGAGTCACATTACATATCTCACAGATACTGCTGTTTGTTTGCCTGTGATATCCAGATAGGATGTTTAAAGAAAGACCAGGAATTAATCAACTATAAATTCTCAGTCTCCTGAGAACTTGCCTCTAAGTGAAGGTAAAGTTCTTCTTCCGTTGTTTTATTTCAGTGTCTCCTGATTTTCTGAATCGCGTTCAGTTCGAGAGCTCCGACCCGACCGTCGACTCCACGCTGCTGATTCTGAACACAAAGAAGGCCGATCAGGCCCCATACCCCTGCCACGTCTCCATCTTTCCCTCTGGAAGCTTCGAGAGACAAATCAGCCTGACCGTCTGGAGTAAGATCCCCTCTTTTCACGTCAATTGATTTTCTCAAGCTTCTTTTCCCTTCTGTTTGCAAAAGGAAGGTCTGTTAAACAGTTAGTCTGCTGTACCATACAAAATCAACACGTTTTTGTATTTCTGCTAAACTTACCAGTTTAAAAATAACTTTGCTTTCATAATTGCTCTGTGTCGTAGCATTTCAGGAAGTAATACGTTGTAAAAAATATTTTTACAGTAAAAACGGCTAAACAATTAACTATAAGATACCCTACCATTGGGTAATTATGGCCCGGTGTCACAGACGGGGCTTAGGTTAAGCCAGGATTAGGCCATAGTTCAATTAGGACATTTAAATAGTTTTTAGAAATATGTATTAGATAAAAACATTACTGGTGTGCATCTTGAGACAAAACAATGAATCTGACATATTTTAAGATCGGTCAGTGCAAGTTTCTTTAAGTTAAAACAGCCCAGACATGCATTTTAGTCTGGGACTAGGCTTAAGCCTTGTCTATTAAACAGAGGTATAAGTTACAGATACCATTACCATCATACTGTGAATTTTATAGTTTTTGCAAGTAAAAACTATGAATTACGAACCATATATTTTATGGTGAAAAACAGTAAATGGACATTGCCAGAAGTCCCTGTGTGAAACAATATTTTTCTCTAATTTTTGTCATCAGTAATGTATGTTAGGGTGTTTTGTTTTGCAATTTCTGTTAAGTTCATGTTTGTGGCATTATTTTAGTGTTGTATTTTGCCCTGATGGTGTTTTGACCCTGTTTATGTCTATATACGTTATACGTACTGTATGAGTACTGGCCATGTTTTACACCGGCTAAATCATAAATTTTTTTCATGCACTGGTAAATTTAGAGATTTTGGTCTCTTTTGTTTCCATAGCTTGTCTTTTTCTGACTAGTGCAAGGAAATTATTTAAAATACCAATTTAAGTGTTTATTTCATTGCACTTTATCTATTTGCATCTGTAAATATGAATTACAATCTATAAATCTAAAAGTTTTTTCTCCATTTCAGCAACACTTATATACACCAAAACTTACAGTTTTATTCCTCTCTATATTCTGAAGGTTTTTACTGAGGGCTTTGTTTATATATCATTTACTCTGATTTGTATAACATATTATTCCTAAAAACATGGTGAAAATGCATATTTTCAAAGGTTGTGAGTTTTTTTTTCTCCACTTTAGCAGCACTTACAAACTCCAAAACTTAGAGTTTTATTCCTTATATATATTCAAAGGTTTTTACTGAGGGGTTTGTTCCTATATCATTTACACTAATTTTCATGACATTTTATGCTTCTAAACATGACGTAAATTTATGTTTTTTCTGTCTATTGATTAGGGGTGCTCCGATTGATCGGCTACCGATCACTATCGGCCGATAATCATGTTGGGATGATTGATCAGCGGTCTCTTAAAAGGCCGATCTTAAAAAAACGATCTCAAGCTGATGACGCTGCCGTGAGAGGTTTTGCTCGACATGCAGCACGTCTCAGTCTCTGTCCGGCGCGGGTGAAATCATTATAATGCTGAAGGTGAGGTACTCCCCTTCATATTTCTTCATTAAATAATTATAAAGTAATTTGAAAACCTTGTGTGAGACGTAATTTCACAAACAGCGTGAGTGAATCACCGCGCGCGCTCTCTC